AATCACAAGCCAAAGTAGCGGTGGTAGCAGCTCAGAGAAGCGCACTCCGCGCAACGCCTGAACCGGAGAAAAAAAAGAATGATACTGACGTCACGGCCCAACGTTGCTTTAGCGATCGGCCGCCCGCTAAGGAGCAGCGCCTCGCGGTGGGTCGCATATTTATCATCAGCATTAGTTGAGAATGCGGCGTCCCACGGACGTAATATTTTGGCTGGGGTCATATTTTGTGTCACTACAGCGATACCAGTAATTTATTTCATCTTGAGTTTTGGCCGGAGTTGCCCTTTAAAGGCCGCCGTACAGTTCGCGATTTCCACTTTTTCTGCGTTTCCTCCTCCCCTGCCCTCCTTTCCTTCCTTCAGCGCCCTCCCCCCCTCCCCGTTTACCGCCCTTCCCCGAGGGGACAACACGGAGAATGGATTAGGAGACGCCTCCGTTAATCCGGCCTAACCCGCCGAAGAGGGGGCCTGCTGCTTGACCAAAAATTATTTCGCTGCTCAAAAAAAAAAAAAAAAAAAAAAAATGAAAAACGCCGCGGGCAGTGATTGAATGCGCTTTGCCGGATGCGCAACACTCCGTCCGCCTTGAACAAGCTTGTATGCACTGGGCTAACATTTTTTGCAGCGCGGCAGGTTTAGTGTAGGTCCTATCATATGGTCCTGCAAGACTTCCCTGTCCACCACAAGCTAGCAAATAATTAAGAACACAACGACGGCAGCGTATTCAAACAGTGTAAAATGAAATGTATATAATATTTATAACACCGTTGTCTTCACTGCTTGGCTTTCAAATTTTTAGCGTTGCCAATAATCGCTATCAAACTATTTTTATGATTGAAGACCCCCCGTCGTGCATCGACCCCAAGATTACGCTTACGTGAAACATGATTCTGCGCGGAAGCGGCTCGAATCACCGTAAACTTTTTTTTTTTTTTTTTTTTTTCCCAACGTGGATTTTGTTTTTTAATTTAGCTGAAATACCACTGGCAGAACACGAATCGCATACTTGGAAGGTATATACCGTCTGAAAACTCATATAGCTGGTTGAGTGAATGCAATACTATCGCATTCGTTGAAGCTTGATTTGTTGATTCGAACTTCAAGAAATCACACGCACCCATTCTCCCTATTCCTGTTTACCCAGTCATAGTCGTTCCCTCACGATGCAATACGTGTACAAGTAACTGCAGTTTATGCGTTGTTGACGTTGCACAGCCGTGATCGCACGGATTTTAGAAGCGCTATAGAACGAGCACAAGCGTCGAATTCCAGTACACTGATTGATTTCTGTCTCACCGCCGTGACGCCACACGAGAAAAGCGATTTCGTTCTGTCTGTGAAATTAGGAACACAGAAATCAAGCTATAATCCCGGTAATAAAACAAAGCGAAATGGATCTCTGTAGCCAATACCCAACCGTTTGCGAGGTGACTAGGCGAAAGCATATATTACCTCCGTACCTTTACACTCTGCACACCGCCAAAGAGAGTCATACAAACTCCTTAGAGCTATTGCCAACACGATTGCGTTTGCAAGCCGGTAGTTTGACTCGGCTGGGATTCGTCCCTTTCATAGCTCTCTATGAAACCAGAAAGGTAGATACTTTTCTACATAGGGTGGGTTTGCCCGGGGCCTCCAGTTATTTACGGCCAAAATCACACTGGAGGCGCTTCAGCAATGTTCACTCTGGTCGATACACGTCCACTGTAAAAATGCCAGTCGTCTACTCTCTCCGAAAAGATACTTGACGAGCCAATCTTAGAGGCCGACGGATAACGAGGCCGAAATTATGCTTATACCTCAAAAAAATTATAACACAAATTTGGCCTCGTCATTCCCAAACTGGTTGCCGGACAAAATTCTCTATGCGTATTGCAAGCCAGGGTTGGTAATAGTAACATAAGATACGTACGGCAGAATTCCCTGCCATAAATAAAATTATTTGGCTGCCGCCAAAGTAACGCGAAATTGGTGCAAAGAGTTTTGCAAAAGGGAGCGTAAACCGAAAAAAAGGGGAAAAAAAAAGACAGAATAGGAGAAATAAGAAGAAAAAAAAAATCTCTGGTGACGTGGCCAAAAAAATTTCTGTTCATGTAATTTGTATTGTCACGTGACCGAACAAAAAAAAATAAGCGAAATAAAAAAAAGAACACGAGAAAAAAACCATCCCCTGCCCGGTTTCGAAGCTAGGCCCTCTTGATAGTGAAACTAGCGCGCTATTCGTTGCGCCTAGTTGCGCCAACATAACTTTTTTTTTTCTTTCTTTATTGCAAGTTGCGCCAACATAACTCTGCCTGTAATGCTCACGCATTCTCACATCATAGGAGAAAGCTTAGGTGCCTTCGTAGTTTTTCATGCATGTGTTATTTTTATTTGTGTCAAGAGTTCACGTTCCAGAATGCTTTTAGAGTTTTGGAGCAAAACGAGTTTCTTCATCCGAGTCACCTTCTAGAGCCAGTAGACCGCACTGGGTCCTCCGGCTAATCAAGCAGCTATTTTCAAATTCTCTGACGTGCCAGTCCTCGCATCCGAGGTCGCCGTTTGACAAGCTTATCTTCCACCTGGTAGCCGGAACCCCAACGGCAGCTATGTTCCGTCCCCACTCCCTCTCAAGAGGATGGCCTCGCCCCGAGGCTAATCCCCTTCTCTAGACACCCTTTCCACCCAACGCTGGCCCTTTCCCTCCCAGTCTCCAGCTTCGGGAGAGAAGGTTCTTCCCTGCAGAACGTCCCGTTTGTACAGCGGCCTTTAAGAGAAAATGGTGACAAACAACCTTTTAGAAAATTTGTTTTTAGAAATACGCAATCCACTGAACTTGGCTGCATGCTCTAGCATTTGCTTGTTCCGCCTTCGCCAATGACAAAGCCGAGCCGGTCAGTCAGCAAGTCGGTCGCTTGGGCGGCCAGCATGTTCAGAGTATGATAGACAAGTTTTCGTGCAAGTCACAACCCTGCTGTTTTCACAATAATAATTTTACGTTCTGCCTGGTTTAGGGCCTAACAAAGAGTGGGTGCTCAAAGCATAGGTCAACAAGCTTCACTGAATCGTGCGGTAGCCTTTAGCGTCTTTCAGATTTGCTTACGACAATTGAATGGATTCACTAAACGGCGCTCCTCTACAACCGCTTGTTGTAGGTGCAGTACATTCTATTAGCATAAAATAAAGGCACACAGCTAAAGCACCTCAGTGATGCCTAGCAGGTAGCGAAACAAATTTCTCTAACAAAGCGTGCGTGGTTACCGAGACATCACGTTATTCAGAGTGCAGATGCAGAGTATAACCACTGTACAGCTTTGTCTCCGTATTTGCATTATCTTCCAAGGTATTGTCCAGGTACAGGCGGCACTGCCGAGCAGACAAGCAAATAAATAAATATTTAACAAAGGGTACTATTCAGTTCCGTACCAGCACCATTACCGTCTTGCTTCGGCAAAACAAAAGCGGTTCTTGCGATTGCGCAATATAAAAAGAATAGTGCAGGTAGAGCTGCATGGTACCTACGTTTCTGGATATTTGCTAGCAAAAGAGCAGGTATTGAAAACAGGAAAATTAACCAGAAAGTGTGATGGGTTTGGGAAGGAAAAAAAACGTAGACAAAAGGCAAGCAGTTCAGAGGAGACGACCCACCGAGCTCGACCTAACGCTGTACGAAGAACAATCTGAACCTGAAATACTACTTTCTGTACAAACACAAGATACCCACGATATTATACGATAAATAGCCACCAAAATTAACGTACCAATTAGGCAGTGCTGTTCGTAAGTCGCGTAAATTGCCGAAGTCACAAACGTTCACGAAACAAGACGGCCATCTTGGAAAAATCAAAATAGTGATGGTGATAGCGATGGGTCTTCTGTAAAAACTCCGAGGACAAATGTAATCACTTTTTTTCGTTTCCTTGTTTTAATTAATGTAAGGAACATATATTCATCTTAGCAGAAACTAAAATCATGGCAACAAAATAGCCTAAAGTTTGAACATTTAGTTGTGCCGAAATTCACTTGGTAATGTCTATAAACCTTGTTTCAGTAATTAAATGCAAACAGAACACAGACTTGCTGATAGCCTTTCCTTGCAAGTGTGAATGGTCAAAAGCTGATGCAATGATAGGCTGAAATACTTCGGGGATAGCATGCTTAAAGGAGCGATGCAACAATTTCTGTACTGTGCACAAATACCGCTTAAAACGGATCCCTAACGTTAATGACCTATGAAACACGCGTTCGTTTTTCACCCCACGCAATAGAAGTCCCAGAAAAAAATTAAAGAAAAACGAGCAGCGTTCACCCCCTCAACTCGCAGCCAGAACAAGCGGCCACGTGATCTGGAGCCGATTATATGCCGCCAGTGTTGATCATAGCCACGCGCTGGGGTTGGCAAAGCGCAGGACACGCGCAGAGTTCCAGACATTGTTATGGCTCGGCTGTTGTCGTCGTTGCAGCGATTGGACACGGGCCACTACCCGAATGCTTCTCGAGCTTGTAATTATTACGAGCCCAAGTCGAGTGCCCACGAAATGCTCGGGCCCAATCTATGAACCGCATTCAAATATCGTCACTTGGGTGTACTGCGATCCCCGAGTTACGTCATCAAATTTTGCAAAGGAGAGATTGAATGAAAATGATAGGTTTTGTCCTTGAAATCACACCGCAACAAAGGGGTTTCTTGGCCAATGGCGTTGCGTGTGAGTATCCTTGAGTCCCAGGTGCGCCAGTAAGCTCGTGTAGAGAGGAAAACATTCCAATTGAATATCGTTGCACAGCTCCTTTAAAGTGGCCAGAAATATTAAACGGGGTATATCTGTCGTCTTTCCATCAAACTTTTCGGAGCTTAATCTTCTCAATAATTAACTTCTCGCATGTTTCGCAGTAATCCGTGGCATGGATTCATTCACCACACTAGTTTTGTCAAGTGTGGCCAGAGGTATGCACCACCATCAGAAAAAAATATGACAAGTTATTTAATTACGACAGGAAGCCACAAAAGGTGAAGATGGCAAGACCCGATCCACCAAAAAGGAGTGGGCCTAAGAGTGCAGTCTTGGTCCATGATTCACGACTGTAACCTATGATGAATGCAGAGAACAAAGGAGTCCATCAGGTCAACAGGAACCAATATCTGACCCGAACATGCAGGGCAATGCAGAGCAGGGGCAAATTTATGGGTCAGCCAGGGGGGGGGGGGGGGGGGGGGGGGGGAGGGGGGAAGGGAGATGATATCATGGGCAAAATGTTGCCCAGATCTGTCTTGTTAACCTAATATTTGTTATGTCACTAAACACCAACGTTACTAAAACGCTCAGTTGGAAAACTCACTCTTGGAACCTGGACCGCTGGCGTTCACCGAGACGAAACTAAATACGATAACAGCGCCACCCTTTTGCGACGAATTAAAACATGCAAGTTGTTTTATTTAGCTACTGCAAAATGGCCCTGCGAGATGGCGCCACGTAGAGTTCCTGTATAGGCTCTTTACAGGAGCCATAGTTGCATGACTGTTTTCCACGTACCGCCGCACCGCTACTCACCGAGATGCGATCATGTGAGGAGCAGACTCAAATGCCGTGCACGAAAGTACACATTGCACGCACCCTGGCATACGTTCCCCTACTTTTGAGCGCACCGTGCTGCCATTCGCCGAATTCAGTCACATCAGGAGCAGGCTCCATATGCCGTGCAGGAAAGACGGCGCTACGGGGATGAACACGCAACTCTGGCTCCCGTAGGGAGCCTATACAGGACCTTTAGCGCCACTGGCTCTTCTGCGACTCGACGGAACCACTAAGTGTAGCCGTGGAGTTTCCTTAGTGGCTGCTGTGGGAGAAATGGCGGCGTTGCAACAGACTTCTTCCAAAACCGACGTGCCCCATCGCGGCGAAATACCACGCAGTGCCCTCTGGGAACTAGTTGGCCACTTAGTTTTCGTTTCGACTGGGCAGCTTCATCTCATGCGATCACGCCACCACCAAATATGCTGCTCGCGTTTTTGATTATCTGAATTTTTTTACGAATGTACAATACACTCATTCTCGAGCGATACAAAACGAAGACCGGGGCACTTTCCTTGGTTCCAAAAACACCGGATATTATGCGTGCATATGCAAACGTAGTAAGACGTGGCTTAGTCACCTCACCCCACGAGTGCATCTTTGAGCTCAGTGTCATTAATCCCGTCCAGTACCAGTGAACTACAACTGAAATTTGGTCACCTTGAGCCCTACACATATTTTGTTTGCCAAACGTACGCTTGTTACTTCATTGGGCGAAAAGCAAGCCGCATCCTAACAGGAGTATTAAAGTTGAGCCCACCGTTGGCGCATTAACTTTCAAGGAAACACAATAAATTCAACCTCACTACTGCACAAAAGTTACTATGATGTCTTCCTCATGTCATCACATATCTCACATTCAAATTTTAAGCTGATAGAAGATTAAATTTTCGCAAACGCTAAGATTGGCTAGCTACGACGGAGGCCCTAACAAGCGTCCCCTACTCCTCACTAAGCTTTCTTGGACAAGCTTTTACTAACGCCCAAGATCTGTGCCTGAACGGTGTGTCTGAAATTATCTCAGCATACTCAGTCAGGAAGAAAGCAAACACATAACAAATATTATGGCCATTAGCAACCGTCAAATGCGCTTTGAATAATTTTGTTCGTTCGGCGCACCGCAGAATTCATGCCCGTCCAGTGCACTTCCGGTGAACGGTGCAACATTGTTCACACAAGTGCTCGACTTCTGCTTTCTTTTTTTGTATGTGCGAATGTACCTATATTATTGCAGGATAACTTTATGAGCATACGCGATGTTGAATATTAGTGGAAGGGGAGCGGGCGGGGACTTCACTTCGTGCAGTGCTGCGGGGCAGTACAGATAAGAGATGAGAAGTGTGTTCGAATGGAGCTTTTCAATGGCGCGTCCGAGTTTTACTTCACATACTCAGGCGTATTAAGAAAAACAGTAATTGCAAAAAGTTATATTTCGTCTATGGATGCACGAAAAACAAAAAAAAAACACAAAAACTTCCTGATCAACAACACTAATGTAAAGGCGCGAGCTCGATGTATGCATACTTATTGGTTGCTACAGCTTGTTGATTCGTACACAAGCAAGATCCCCCAGCTTCGCAGCGTCAAGATTCCCAGCACTGGCTTGTCCACATACCTCGAAACGCTTACAAAAAGGCTCAAGTACAAAAATACAACAAGCATTTATACATTTCAGGCTTGTGCTAAAGCTTCGAGGTCTGGCCATTTAGGTTAGTTTAAAGACCACAAATGGCTTTCTGGGGACCAGAAAACATGAAATAATGGCCGTTTACAGTCCACACTTCGAGTATAATCTCTTGTCGATCGAAACCGAAACCATGCCACTCTCCTCCCTGGCTAACTAGTTCCCAGAGTGCAACGCGCGCCGGGTTGCATGCAGGAATTTATGGAAGTAGTCTATTGCGTTTAGTTCGGTTCTCGAGTATGGATGGAAGCCACTAATCATTTCTTCCCAACAAAAGCTGGCATATGTAGATTTTTCACTGAAAAAAGTTAACCTTGGATGCCCTATTCCCCCCACCCTTAAAATCTGCCCATGATACATGTGCCAAGAAAATGAGGGAGAAGAGTGGAAGAGAGCACGCGGGGACGTCAGGACACCCGAGCTCTGGTTAGAAGGATTGGTGGGTATACCTAAAGCTACCTGCCTTTGTCTCCACTGCACTCGTCGAGGACGTTTAAATGCGAGAGCCAAACACTGGACGCCCGCGTTCTGCAGTCGAACGTGTTCAACGAGTGCAGCAGAAACAAAGGCTGCCTTTATCCCCACTGCACTCGTCAAACGCATTCGAATGCAAATGCGAAACGCTGGACACCGACGTTCTGCACGTGCAGTACAGACAAAGGCAGTTAGCTTTAGGTCTACCCACTAATTGTTCCGATCGGAGCTCTGCGTTTTGACATTCCTGCACCCTCATCCCCTCCTCTCTCTCAATTTCTTGGCACATAGAGTTCTGGAAGTTTAACAACAGTGGCTAGTGAAAAATCCAACAGGCATGACATCCACAAAAAAAAAAAGCAGCTTTCTTTGGGATTTTTTAAAGGTGTTCTAAATTGCACAGCACTCATAGGATCTCTTTGCACTTGACCCATCGCCCGTAGCACACTTCAGGACTAATCGCCAGACGACCGTCAATTCAGAAGACCGTCCCACACAATCTCGCAGGTCACCCGAAAATAGGAGACGTGCGGAGGAGTGCGAGAATAGGCCAGCAGGGTGGCATACTCTCCCTGACACGATTCGGAACGAGCAGGCTTAAAGCCAGACGACTCCAGAAGGAACGTCTGCACGTCCGCAGCTTACATACCCTTGGGGAAGGGAAACCAGTGGCTCCCACAACAGACACTCACTTTTCCATTAACAAAATTATTGAGACTTCTTCAATACAGCCGTCAAATAAAGCGATCGTGTTCAGCTGCTGAAGAGCTGCGCTTGTTTTGACGTTCAGTAGGTGCACCGAGAACTCCAACTCAAGTTACTCCGTTCGGAGCTGAGGGAGCCGCTACTGAACGCACCATCACCACTACTGCAAGGGAGGTCACGTGGAAATATTTGTCCCTGAACTGCTCCTGCCGCTTCAAACACCTTAGAGTTGTCAGAGCTGCTTGTCGGTTTCAAGTCGTACCCAAACCCAGCAATGCGTGTCGCTGTGGAGGGGGGAATAACTCATCAGCCGCCCAAAAACTATATGAGTAACTTATCCCATGAGTAGCGGGCCTTATAGCAAGCTCGTTTCAAACGCACTGGCATTATGCGAGTCATCTCCCAGAGTGCACCACACTCGCGGAGTGCCGCATGAAGAACCGGTCTTAAACTAACTTACCGAGTGCAGCCTGATGCTGTCACCATTTGCATTGTAGTAAGAGTGCAGACCTCAAACTGAAATTAGCGCTCCGCTGTTCGACATGACGGGCAGGAATGCGATTGTGAGTTGCTGCAACAAGCAGCTTATATCTGTGATGACTTCAAACAGCTCGGCTGTAAGAGATATTTACAGATGGCATTAGTTCCTGTAACCAGCTTAGTACAAAACAGCTGTAACTTTTTGTTGAACGATACACTGGAAAAAAAACTGTTTGCGCAAAAGCTTGACCAGAGCAAACGCAAGAAATTTGAAGGCTATGCACGCCTTGCGGAACAAAAGGATGCCCACACGACGCTTTCTCTGAAGCGTGCTCCTTCTGTACGAACAGCCAAAGTTAATTTTAGGGTTAGAATACTGTTTGCCAGTTTCACGCTATTTTGGATGGGTGTGAACTTGGTGGCGGGCTCAGTCTCATCGTAAAGCGGTACTCGGTCTTGTTGACTGATATTGCCGTTTCGTTTGACACTGCGATGTGCAACACTCTCGAAGCTAGCTAGCTGTAGGGCACGTTTCATTCTTGATTATCGCCGCTTGTCCAGAAATCTTTGTGACACTTGTTACAAATGCAAGCTATTACCCTCGAGAATCCAGACACAATTTTTAAAAAGTGCAGGACTGTGGAGAGGCAGCGCAACTTGCTTTGATCAGAATCGTGGTGCGATCAACAAGAGCTTGTTTGACTCCTCGTCAAGTGACGGTATAGTGACTCGTGCCCTCGAACGCCTGGATGCCCATCAAGCACCAACGTCCTGGACACATTCTGTTGGAGAACTTTTGCAAGTGTAATCCTAGGGCTACCTTTGCTGCTTGTAGTGCAACTACCGTAATATCCCAAGTCATCGCCCACCCCCCTACCGCCTGAAATTCATTAAAAAAGTGGGGTGGGCCATGTCTCGGTGGGCGAGCACAAACACTTGAAAAAAAGCGGAAATTTTTCTCTGCGTATCTAGCGCTGATGCAAAAGAGATACATCAAACTCAAAACTCGATTTAGTTTCATTGCTGTATAGAAAGAAATGCTCACGAAAGAATATTTTACTATAGCGAAGTCCGTTGCTTGCATACGCGCTAGAAACACCGCCGATCTGCATGTAGCGCGAACGTTTGTTCCGTGAAAGAATGTCACCACTATGTTCTCCTAGTTAGTAAAAAAAAAAGAAAGAAAAGTCTACAAGAAAATAGAAAAACCGACCAGGTGCAACGAGCGAGCGAGCGGACGGACCAAAGAAGCGACCAAGGGCAATGCTGGGAAAGCGGGAAAGCCCGCGGTCGCGTTGGTAAATACTTTGGCGTCGGGCCAAGTCGGGCGCCTTGTCAATTGCAAGCTCTTGCGCAACTTTCTTGTTTGGTGCGTACATACGTGCGTCCGTGCACGGCGGGCTATCAATGAACGGTTGGGACGCTCTGCAAACGTCTTTGTGGGGCGTTCCAGAAAAGCTTTATTTACGCGTTGGCTTTGCCTAAAATATTGCACAACCGCGGTCGCGACGGGCGGGAAGAAGGAGCGGGTTCGCGGTGACCTTACTTCGGCGGAGACAGACTTTGACCTAACACTCCGCGGTTACTTTTTATTTTGTTATCTCCATCGTTTTCTTTTCGCACGGATACACGACCACTTTGGGGTCGCTCACGGAGGAAATTCGTAAACAAAAAGAAGTGTCTTTCCCTCCTTCGTTTTACTTTGTCACGAACGTCCTGCAACTATAAGGTCCGCGGCCGCGTCATTCGGGTAGGATGAGTGTTCGCGGATCGCCGAGTCCGCGCTGGGGTATTTAAAGGGGTGGGCGATGACTCGGTGTTTTTTCAGAAATCGATATTGGCCCAAACAATGGGGTGGGCGATGGCTCGGGGATGGGCGATGACTCGGGATATTACGGTAGAGTTGGAATGAAATTCCATGTCCAGCATTGAGTCTTTGCCATGGTGTTTGCCAAGCTGAAAAACTGTGCTTCTGTGTTAGCAGCCAGTCAAACAACTGCCAAAAACAGCCTGTCGTTGAGAAAAGGGTGAAACTTCCTCATTTTGAATCTGATTCAGCTGTATGAGCGAGGGTGCCCGCCAGGGTCACGGACCTGCACCAATAGCTTTATTCCCCTCAAACTTTTTACTGAAAAGGGTGTAGACCTATATTCAGGATTTGGAACAGTTTGATTTGGTCCTCGGTCGTGCAGTCACTCAAGTCCGGAAATATAGGGACTACAAATGTCGGGATGGGCAGGTCTTTGGGCTCTTAAAGGGACCCTCCGGAGCGTTCTGCGATGGTCTATTTATGGCGGTAACTCAATCTACAGGCCCCAAGGATCCTAAAAATCATAAAATTATGGTCATGCGTGGCGGATTTCCCTATTAAAGTTGCTATCAAAGTCCCCGGCACGCCCCCCTTTCTGAGATGACCCCGGAAAACGGGAGGGGCATCTCTTTATGCGTCAGCCAATAGCAAGCGAAGGATTCTGGCGTCTCTGCGCGTCACCAACGCAGCTGACCACCGATCCGCGGAGGAATCTCTCGAACACGCGCAGACTGTCGTCGTCAAGGAGCCCGGACTTTGTGCTCAACAGTCGTCGTTCGTCGCACCGCACCGTCGCGCTGCTGCTGCAATACGCAGGCGCATTGCACAGATGACAAGGAAAAGTTTGACTCGTTGACGTGGAAGGATCGCAGAGCTGGCTTCGGAGTCGGGATCCATGGGAAGAAGGAACACGTGTCCCGCAAACGCACGCCTGCAGACGCCCCGGGAAGCAGACGAGCCGACGCATCACCCCCTAGCAAGAAGCTTGCGGGGAGAAAACGTAGTTCGCTGGTTTTGGAGCGATAATTGCGGACTATGTTTCCTGCACCACAATCAGTTTACGTTTTTCTCAAACTCCAATTTAAAACAAGCTTAAAAAGTGTTGCAATAATAACGTTCGCATTCACCCCGAGATGCAGCATTTCCATTGGTCAAGGTTTAGCGATGGGCAGGGAATGGGGGATTGTCTTCCAAGAGAAAATAGTCCCGATATATTTCCTCTGCCATCTGCTTAATAAACGGTTTTGTAATCTAAAACTTTGGATACATATTAACTTGCACCTAATACGCAATATAACAACATAAACAGACGATCGCAGAAAGCTCCGGAGGGCCCCTTTAAGGACACCGAAAGAGGGAAACAAAAACCTAAAATAGGCACTCTAAAAATCAAACCTTTATCTGTTTACTTTGCTCATTTTCTGTGGTACGACACGCCATCACATTCTACTCCGTTTCACCTTGTGTTGTACCGCAGCCGACTATACGAGCCACCGGAGCCAATCCAACTCTTTGTCGCTGCCAGATGACACTGTGCTCGACGTGCCGTTGCGCCCAACGGACAGGCCATGTGACACACCTTCGGCACTGGATTGGCTCCGATGGCTCGCAGCATTCAGAGTAAAGTGCGGTATTGCATTTTGTGCTCTAGTAACTCACCACTGCCGAACTGCTACGCCAGAAGCACTCAGCAGACCCCACCAACTCTGCCGCCCCTACGCTCCATTCACCCCAACGCTGACAGGGCGGTAGGAGCCATGTGGTTGGTGGGCCAGGCCAAGCTATTCTTGCCTCATGTCCGACCTGCACATCTGTAAGAGAAAGGGGCGTGATGAGTGATGCAAGACTGACAATCGGCTGGCTCACCGAGCATGTAGCCTCCAGTGCCCTGTCAGTTAAGAGGTGAATGAAGTCTAAAGTTGGTATATAACAGCCGTCTACTGTCCCACTCTCAGGCATGCCACCCTTGATCAGTCCAGTCGTTGATCTTTAAGCAGGGTTAAGCAATGACTGCCTCGTGCTACCAAAAATGAAGGTGTCCACGGAACAAAGCCGCATTTGTGTCTACTCGCACCTTCGAGAAAATTGGTCCTGCCATAACCCACACCTCGTCAAGGTAAAAAAACTTTCGGGCCCTTTATTTCCTGTGTTGTACAATACCCCAAGAGGTACCTCTGTTGAAACAGAACTATCTTGAACCCCTCGATCAGAAGCGAGGCCCCTTGCGGCCATTCAGCGCCGTCTACTCATTCATAGATGTTGCTCCTTTCGACAAAATGTCTGTGGCGACAGCTGGAGCTAGTGAAAAAGCGGACACCATAGCTCTTCCCAAAGCACCCTGTTCTTCCTCACGAGCGGCTAGTTCATCCAGGAACAGTGCAATAGTGCTTGGTGGTCTCTGATCGCAGACGACCATCATAGCCCCACCAACGGCGGCGGCGGCAACCCCCCCCCCACTGACGTCACTCAGGTGACAAGCATTTCACTCGCATGACGTGACTCCAAGCCATACTCACTATGGCTGGCGACAACCCATAAAAGGCATGCGCTGGCCCTTTGACCCATGCGGAGTGCAGTGCAGGAAGTGGAACGGCATCGGTGACCCACTCGCTGCAGTTACCCAGAACTGTTTTACTGCTGTCTCGGCGAAGGTGCAGGCCCGCTGTTTGATGCACATAGGTAGAAGCCATCAGCCGCAAGCATCAGACACCTGGGGTGGAAAATTTTGCACCCAACAAAACAATAACCATGAGAAGAGTGGTCTAGCCAGTGAATTGCAAAAACATAAAAAGCAGGCACTAAAACCTTGTCTTGCAAAAACACAAAAAGCAGGCACATATAGAAGTATTTCTGTTACCTCGTCTCATGCTCAAGCATTATTTTGGATAGTATACTGCAATAATGCCTGTCTCGCAGTGGCTTTCTGAACAAAATGTAGTAGAAAATACAACCAGTTGAATACCAAAGGAGAAGTAGAACAGAGAGGCACTTATTTGTTGTCACTTTAACATGCACATTATGGAAGAGCACAACTCTTCGCGATTAACCTGTAGCAGAATCGCTTAGCAGTTCTGCTGCAGGTGTGAATGTACCACGAGGCAGAATACAGCATTTGTGCAGAAAACACCATCGCAGGCCTACCAGGATGAACAGTAACATTATTACCCGCCACAAATTCGACGCGCCGGGAGGGCCATCCGCGAAGCCTGATCTGTTTGTAAATCCCGTCTTTCGACAGAACGCTTTTGTGACTGCACGAGCTCGTCAAAAGCTGACATTCCCAACGCGCTTGGTCCTTCTTTAAGTGCGAGTACTGAATGCAAATGCGGCGCAGGCGGCACCCGGGAGCCACATGCCACTCCCGTTGACTATCTCTACTATCTTCTTTGTCCCCGACGCTACGTGAGGTAGCCAAGCGCTATCAAATTCCACCACTGCGGTGTCGCATCGACGATCGAACGCCACCAGAGTAGGTAAATTTCACTCACCTTTTACGTTCCGAACCAGCGTCCCACGGGCCTCCATGTGGCGGGACGGGGCCTGCTAGCTTGCATGAATGCGCTGTGAACTTCATTGCCGACGCTCGTTCCCAAGCATTGAATATCACGACCAACTCCGACAACGTATAATACAAGAAAGACCGCTGGAACCGACGCGACCGCTCCAAAAAGCACCCAACCAGGGTGTAAGATAGACAGGTGGGGAAACGACAGCCAAATGAGTGACCGCATTGTGTCCCCCTCAGCTTTCTCTTTTTCTGTGGCGCCATCTATGTGGAGCACCGCGAACTCTCACTCCGGGTGGGCGACCGATGGCGACATTCTAAACTGACGGAGATGGTTTCTCGTGGATTTTTAATGAAGAACTGTCGTGCTCTCGGCTTATTTTTCGCACTCTCCTATAGCGTTCCACGCAAATTCGATTCCAATTTTTTTCCTCTCGCCGCAGCGCCATCTGTCGCAAGTCGGGGGTACCCGCAAGCAGACGAGTACACAATCTGGTCACGGCGCTGCGGTAGGCTTCTATGGGCCGTTTCCCCACCTGTCTATCTTACACCCTGCACCCAACAAACACTTGGAGAAACAAAAAGTAAAAACAAAAAAATAAAATTAAAACAAGCAAAAACAAACAAAACAAAAATTTCATCACTTCCGGTTTGTGTTGTTTTGCTTGTTTTTGCTTTTTTCTCTCAGCCAATAGGCGTTGCAACCTTACTGCGGCGAAACGCTCGTGTCGTGATACCCGATCAGGCCCAACAAAGGCTTGTGGCCTGTGAACAGTTCAACTGGCCTTCCCTACACGAATTGGTCTAACTTCAGTATATCGAACATCACTGCCAGAGCCTCCTTGTCCAGTTTTAACTGCGGAGGTGAAGAGGATGGGATATTAACCCATGCGGTCAAATCTATATCGCCAATGGTTACGGGTAAACAAATATGTTTGTTGGAGTGTGCGGGCCAGCTTGGGCAACCCCCGGACATTTTCCAAAGGCCCAATGGAGTCGAGTTTTGTACAGTAGCGCCGAATTCCTCGTCCGTGGTCGGGGGCTCTCATTACTTGAACGAGTCAACTTATCATTTTATATTCGGTAAATTGTAAAATTATATTAAGTGCTAACCATGCTATTAATAAAATATCTGGCTCACTTTTCAAAACGACTTTTATATACACGTTTGGAACGTAGCAGCCTGCTTTAAAGCCGTTTCTAAGCCAAGCCGTAAAGAATCCAACATGGCGCCCCTTTATTTTTGTAGGGTGGTTCTCGTATGGATCGCTTCGGGGTCGTGTTGGAGCCTGGATCCAGGCTCCTGAGCACCACGCCCGGTCCCGGTAGTGTAATAATAGGGACTTTTAACAAACCGTGTTCCGCGTACCGCACTATCGGAGCCTTTGAAGCATTCTTTTAAGTGCGCGCCCCGCTGTCACGGTATCATTCCGGGTGCGCGCCTATAAAGCATGTTTCAAAGGCCCCGATAATGCGTTACGCGGAACACGGTAACAGTTCGCTAAAAGTTCCTAACGTAATAGACGATGTGCGATTTCGCTTTCAGTTGTATAAGGTGCGTATTCGTGTGTTCTTCTGTTTCGAGGCGTCCCGCCGTCCAGTAAGGAATCCAGAGCTGCGACCGAAATATTTCGAGGCATATTTATTGCACAGATGCTAAAACGGAATTAAGTACAGCGCTGCACCTGCATGCGCGCAAAAATAAAACATTGACAAAATCACTTCGTCAACCTCGCCCACAAGCTCCCGTTTCAGGTCGCCAGCACCTCTCATCTGTGCACGATCTCATCACTTCATTATTACGTGCGCCTCCGCACACCTTGGGAATGGGCTTTATCATTAATTTTATCACTATCACTTCTTCGGAATTGTCACTAACGCATATCTTTACAAGTGTACACATTGACCCACATAATTATGCATTCAACATGCCAAGTTGGATCAGCTGTTTACTGAAAGTAAAGTTGTTCACTGATTTAAGAAACATAAGCCACTTACGATGCCGCCAGCAATCATTAGCTTCATTTTTACATATTCATAGCTTCTCACGCAACCAAGATGAAAATGTGAAATAAAGCTTCGAAAAATGTTGGCACTCAACAGGCTGTACAACTGGTTGGGAACCACGAAGTGTCCGAAGTTTTTTTCCTCCTTGAGACAACGTTCAAATGCTCGTTCCATATGTCCCAGCATCTGTAATGACAATGTGGTCATGATATTTAAAATTTTAAACTAATTTAAAAACAAAACAAATGTCTATGTACACAGAATAAACTAATGACATAATGCCGTTTTCGCACCCGGAACCATGCAGAAATAAATGAAACTTCAAATTAATATATAGGAAGCCTCATTCTTTCTTTTTATTATCCTCCGTCTGTTCGAGGACCGCCAAAGAGCATTTTCTAGATTAAACCCAATTGTTGCACTTTAAATAAGCAGTTGTGCACAAATCGAAGTGGGGCTAAGTGTATACCATTAACTTCATTAAAACCGTACTTGTTCGGGGTGATATGTTTTTACTGCGAGAACGAGCCTGCCTATAGTACGGTAGACCCGCAAACTAAGAGCTAAGGGGCAGCAAAAGTTTAATGGTAAGTTCGCTGAGCAAATAAAACTGAGTACATACTCACCTCTTTTCTTGAGAAAAAAAAATGAACAAACGAAAACTTGTGGGTCTTGGCATTTGCGCTGTTCGTGCACCATTGGGATATGGCCACGTAAAATGCACCTCTTAACAGTCTCTGAAAGTTTGCACCAAAATATCCATCGAGTTCGACAGGCGCGCGGAACGCCGGAGAGCGAAACCACGCTCGCACGGGCACCCTTGGGTAAACAAAACCACGCGATGCCGCCGTCCGCCGTTACGAAGTTTCAAATTTGGGCGAGGGTAGAGCGAGGGGAGCAGCGTGAGCAGCGGCGCCTTCCAGGGCCCAGGACGCCGGCGAGGCCAGCGGGGCGGTTTAGAGTTTTGGTTTCAGACAGAAAACAGAACAAACAAAAAGAAATATATAAAATAAATTGAATTTTATTTTCATGGTGCGGTGAAGACGTTTTGTTGAAATTACTGTTAGCAAATAAAGTTTCATATTTGTATTTTTGTATTAATGAGAGCCCCCCCACCACCCAAGCGCTGCTGCCGGTGGCGACGCTATACACAGCGCCGTTGATGGTGGCGACGCTAATGTCAGCGCCGCGAAACTCGGACTGTGACCGGGGTAGACCGGGGGTTGGCTTGGGGCCACTGATCTTGGGGCCCGCAAATGAATGATGGATGGATGGATGGATGGAT